CAGTTAAAGTTCAAGCAGTGGTTTACATCAAAGCACAATAAAACGTAATAATATTCTTTTTGTGTTTTATTTTTTTATACATTGATGAAGATTAATAATAAGAAGAAGATTATTCTATTTATTATCTGATTAATAAGAAGAAAATATTTCTTTACTGTTTAGGGAAAAACCTGTTGACTTTAACTTGAACAGAGTTCTGTCTCTCTGAAGGAGGCCTTCTGAGACCAAGGTCAAAGAGAGGTGGAACTGTTTATTCCACCCGTAGGTGACCACTACATGAACATGATGTGTACTATTTTTTCCACTTTGTTTTGCTTATTTGTTGTAGCAATTAAAGCTTTTCAAAATAAAACCCATTCAGAGTCAGGGATACTACGACTACTAGCTACTACGACTGCTACACTATACATTTTTCTAATAGCAAAACATGACAAAATGGAAATAATATATTTAAAACGTTTTAATCAAGACATAAACAGAAAACATACCACAGCTTATAGAACAGACATTTTGCAAACATGTATACAAAGTAATAAAAAGAAAACGTGTTATAAAAAATAGCTTTGGGTGAGTATATTTGGCTTATATATTTTATTTACATTAATTCACTGAAGAGCTTGCTACATAGTTTGTGATAATAACTTTCACGGTGTGTGATGTTTATCCTTAGATGGCAATGTCTCTGATCAGTTGTTCATTTTCCTGTTTTTTTTATAACTGAAATGAAGAGTCATATAAATGATTTTGAAATATCGCTGAAGAAATTATGTTGTAAGAGCTCTAACAGATGCTTCCTTTTTCAAGTCTTTTCCTCCATTGTAGTATCAAAGGTATCAGGAAGTTTTGAAATCTCATTGGCCAGAGTACAAAGTCTCTTTATTTTCCATCTTCATTGAGTCTGCACTACTTGTGCTCTGCAGATTCATTATCTGTCTCAACTTCATTCGGAAATCTTTAGAAGCAAAGTAGTAAATAAAAGGATCCAGACAGCTATTTAGGCAGCTGAAACAAAGAGAGAGTTTGTAAGCCATGTACAAAGACTTGTCATAAAAGAGTCTAAACACACTGTGAAGCAATAGGAGGATGTTGTTGGGAGCAAAGCAGACCACAAACACAATAAGAACAACAACAGCCAAACGTATCACCCTCTTCTTCTGGGCTGTCTTGGAGTCACTGGACAGCTTGCGTATGACACTGACATAACAGAATATTGTGACACAGAAGGGAAAGAAAAAGAGAACAAACACAAGACTGAATAGGAAGGATGCCCAGGCTGCCACAGATGGGAGCATGTTTTTCTTCAACACGTCAAAGCATGTGATGATTTTGAGTTCAGGAATGTCATAGGTCAAATCTGTGGTCATCAGTGGGTACAAAACGCCCAGCACCAAACACCACATCAGGAGACAGCTGACGACCGCAATAGACTTTCTCCGCCGGTTCTTTCTGAATGCCATAGGCTTGACAATGCCCAGGTAACGGTCAATCCCGATGGCCATCATGGTCAGAATGGAACAGTACATGTTGGTGTAGAACACCATGGTCAGGAAGCTGTAAGAGGACATACAAATTACAAACTGACTTTAATTAATAGTTTCAGCACAATCTGAAGATACTTTGACATTTTACAAAAGGTAAGAAGCCTTAAAAAAATTCAAAATTTTGAGATTACTTTTAGAGTTAGCTTGACATTGGGATGGCAAAATGTTTTTCATTCTCAAATATGACGAGTAAACTTATCCGAATGGTCCTCCAAAAAAATTGGTATTAATCATGTATGTTAATGAACAAGCTAATTTACCACATTACGTTGAACTGATAAAAAAAAAAACTAAAGCAAATAAATGTTCTGATGCATCTCTGTAATCCAGGTAGAAAAAAAAAATCAAAAAGAAAAAATAAGTAGGTCCTCTGGATGGGTTCGTCTTTAGTGAAACGTTTCGTCTCTCCTCCAAGAGACTTCTTTAGTCTGATGAGTTTCAGGTGTATTCAGCCTTATAAGCACTGCCTCCACATGGACAAACAGGTTAGTCATATGAAAAAGAGGGCCGAGCCTATTGTTAAGCGATGACCCTCTTTTGCATGTGACTAACCTGTTTGTCCATGTGGAGGCAGTGCTTATAAGGCTGAATACACCT